TGATCCACCATCATCCCCATAATCTACACTACCCTGCTCCCTCTCTATCGCGACGTCACACTATGGAGATGACACTGCACTTCCCCGCAACGTTGACATCAACGTTCCTTATTACCCTAGTTTGGGGTATTTCTCCCTAGGGCCGGCGGCTGGGGGCTTTACCAGGGCTTTACTCAGGCGCCAGGCCCCCGGGTGGGGTCCAAACGAAAAGCGTCGTATTTCCCGCGTCTAGGCAGTCCAATAAGCAAAGTCCGGGAGAGTCAGGGTGTCTTTCCTATGTGCCCGCGGGCCCCGGCGCGGGCCGTGAGAGAAGTGGGCGCGCGCGCAGCGCACTTGAGGAAGCTTAGGGAGTCCGGATCAAGTACTTGAAGTTGTCGACGCCCTGCGTCCGGACTAGCGGGGTGTCTATCTTTCTGGATTTCCGCTGTAAATTGCACTTGAGAGAATTGAAGCAAAAAGTGGCGCGTCGACGTGGACAATACTATCGTGAGGGAAAGAATCCCGGCTCGCCTTGTAAGGATAGAAATTACACACCACAATAAGTCGATTGCATACCTCGAGTAGTATTTGATGTGACTCTGTTTCGTATATCGCAGGAGCACATAAGCGCAATTCATTAGCCACAATAAGGAGTTGATTAGCTACCACATTTGCCTTGCACCTTCACAGCACGTGATATGGTTACAAATCCTTTTGAACATAATAATTACCTCAAAGCCTCCACATTTTTGCCACCCCCCCAACAAATGGTCCACCTACAATGTTTTAAGTTGCACGATCCAAATTTCCTTTCGTCTCAGGCAACACCTGGTTTTCACGAAGACAATCTCCACCAGAGAAGGAGTAAATGAACCACCAATATGTGTCAGTGGCGCACCAAATTGCATACAAGCATCAATGATGCTCTGCAAACCAGTGGAATTGGTTCGAAAAATAGCAAGTTCAGCAGCTCTCGACACGCCAATTGCATGTCTAGATAGCCACGAACCCAGGGGGAAAAAAGACTTCTGGCTTTCGAATAAATCAGCCTTGGGTTCAGGTGTAGTGAGATCCAATTTACTGATACAGAACATTGCATGAAAACAACAGGATGTTTCGAACCACTGCGGTCTACCACAGCCAGAAATGATAGAGTTGCGGCCAAGTTTCTTTATGTCACGATTCATGAGCCAAGAAGATTTCATGCTGGGAGACAGAAGGTAGCCTTCTTGTTGCAGGGTCCATTGCAACGTGTTTACATGCACGAAGCAGTTGTTTTGGCTGGGCAAGTTTGTGTCTAATAGGCGAAGCTTGAGTGTATTCCCAATCGACTCAGAAAGTGACACATCCCTGTGTAGCATTCTCGCAGTTGCGAGGCGCAATGCTAAAGTTGATTCGCGAATTTCAGAGAATATATCTGCGAGAATCCAATTCGATTCTCCGTATGCATGCATGTGATGCTTCAGGCCATTTGACAAATTCACAATCGCTATGGCTTCGTCGAGCCTTTGGTCGTGGGTACATCTGTCAATGAGAAGCATCACTTCAAGTAATTTTGAAAGATTGAAGTAAGCTTTTACAGCCTGACGGCTAAGCTCGAATTTGTTGCTGATTCGTTTGCCAATGTCGCCAATAGTTAGGTATTTTGCTGCAATACTTTCAAGCCGCAAATGATTGCTGCGCAAATTCTGCGAGAGTAGCTTTGTGGTGTACAAGCTATTTCTGACGGAAGTAGTGCAAGCGTGGTAATTGTAAATTTTTTTCCCATTTCTGAGCGACAGACATCGTATTTCGTTTTGAGCAAAGGAGAGGCAATTGAACAATACATTCGGTTCATGTTTAAAGCTGTTCAATTCGTTTTCATTATTTCTTGCTACCATGCCACCAGAGGTGGCCTTACAAAGACTTTGTATAGTTGACGACATGCTGCAGCTGCAGAGAAGTGGGGCCAAAAAAGATGAATGGTACCGACAGTGCAGTGATCAACGTACATCTAGGCCGGCCCATAGGAAACTAACTAATAAAGATCCATCATCCAATCCCGGCCGGCGGAGCCAGAGTCATTGGTTGTCCATAGAGGCTGTACGTCGGCCGCGCGTGCGGGCGCGGTGTCGCGGGGGTCCGCGGCCGGGGCTGAGTGGAATCAAAGGGAAAAGGAGCCCCGTACTAAAGTGGGGACCTTGGGACTGAACTCAGGCTCATGAGGATATGAACCTGCAAGCAAATAGTAAGAAGGGGAAATAAGGACAGTAGGGCAGATACAAGAGAATCTTCCTCCCGAGGCGTCCGAGGCGTTTGCGGCTCCGTCGGGGGGGCTGCTGGTTTGCTCAACAAGCTTTGGGTTAAGAAGCAGGCTCCGTCCGCGGTCGACCCGGGGGGGTTTCTCCCTCTATTTAGTTATGCGCCTAGAACGTGGGGAAGGGCTAGCGGGCGCGTTCCTCTGTACCCGGGGGGTGGATCGGTACCGTCCCGGGGTTTGTCGCGGGACTTCTTGGGTGTCGCTGGGTCGATCGCGGTCGTATATCGGTTTACCCCCGGCCAAACGCTAACAGCTTACAACATTTGGCGTGCAGCGTTACAACATTTGGGGAGCTCGATTGCAGCTAGCTCAAATTTCTCAACGCGTTGCGGCTGTTCCTCGCTGTCTCGTTGCACGGCATTGCTTCGCATCGTGCCACGAAGGCCTGAGACGCGTCTGCGCGTTAAAAAAGTATCGGTTCGATTGCCGCGGGCGTTTGCGCGGCATGGCTTTCAAGTTGCCTTTGGTGCTGCTGGCCGTCGGCTGCGCTGCGCTGGCGCCAGCGCGGCATATTAGTGCATGTCCATTGAGTGTGATGCAATCCTCGGCCACATGGCAGCCTACGACGCTGGACGTTGCGAATTCGAACTTCCAGGCGGGGTGGTATATCGAGGTTGAAACGCTGCAGGTCTTGCCCGCTCCAGTAAGCGCGCCCGTCCTAGTGGGGGCGCGTGCCTTTAAGTATACTTACACATACAACTATACAGGATGCCTCGCCGAGAGGATCGCCAGCGACGCTCTTCTACACGCCCCTCGATTCCGCATGCTCGATTCCAGGAGTTCGATGCGCCAGGAGTTTCCTCTCCCTGGGGCTGCTAAGGACATGTTTCTAAGAGTGTTTTGTGGTGCCACTGCGGCAGCACGGTGCGTGTCGCGCTGCGCCGTGCTGCTGCCGTTTCGGGCGGCATGGGGCTTCCGCTGCGTGTGTCGAATTGGTGTACTGTTAGCATGGTTTCTGGGTGCTTTGGTCGACTTTCTGTTTACTATCATGCTATGGGCCATCATACTTTGGGTCAGCACTATGGGCCGCGCCGTCGTCGTCGTGCTGCTGGCCGTCGCAGCCGCAGTAGCGGCGTGTCCGCCTGCGACTGCGGCCGCTGCGGCCGCTGCTGCTGCCTCTGTTGCAGGTGGAGCTGGCGGTGTTGGTGCTGCTGCTATTGTTGGGACTGCTGCTTTGGCTGCTGCTGGTCCTGTGCGGCGGTCCCTGGGCGGCATTCGGGCCCTCAAGGAGGCGCCGAACGTCGCTCCGCCGGCGCCGGCGCCGTGCTGCGCCGACGCTGCGTGCGCTGGCTGCGACAAGGAAAACGTCGACAACAGCCAGCCTGGTGCTGGCTGGGCTAAGCCTGCTGCTGGGCCTGCTGCTCCGGTGGCCTCTGAGCCTGCGCAGCCGGCGGCGAAGAAGCCTCGATCGTCGAAGACGCACAGCTGCGCTGCGTGTCGTAAGGCGCGTGTAGCGTGCGAATGCGACCAGGCAACCTCCGAAACTGGGGTGTGTTCCAGGTGCACGAGGCTTAAGGAGACCTGCTGTGTTTTTGAGTGCACATGCACCAACACATGCAACCGGTCGCAGGGCGGGTGCGCATGTGCGATCTGCGAGCGTGCGGCGGAGCTGCGGCCGCCGCCTGCGCAGCCTGCGCAGCCTGCTGTGCCAGGTCCAGTGCAGGGACAGCAGGAGCAGCAAGGGCAGCAGCAGCAACGGCAGCAGCAGGCTCCTGGGTCGCCACGGCGGCGGTCGTCGGGGGGCATGTCGCCGGACGAGGTCGACACTGTCGTCTCTCGAGCCGCCGCCTCGTTCGCTCCCATTTTAAGAGCAGATATTCCATTAGTTTCATGAAAAAATTTGCCCTAGAGTCCGGGCTGCGTGGAGTTTGCTGGGACTTTGGCTGTCCGGGTCACGGCAAAGGGCCCTGGGACGGGCTGGCGGGCACGATCAAGCGCACCAGGGGGGTAGATCGCGAACGGAGCCAGCATGGCAAATTGCTGGGTATTGCGTAGTGCTAGTTAGGGACATGTAGCGCAAAGACGGCATGGAGCTTCTCATCCAAGATCATAGTCTGGCATTTGAGCTTACCAGAAGGCTGCATGAATGGGGGATCATTGCTGCCATTGTACCAACGGCGCGATCCGGAGCGAACCGGAGCGATCCGGCGCGATCTGCGGCGATCCCGCGCGATCCGGGGCGATCCCGAGCGATATCCGCGACCCGCCGCGATCCGGAGCGACCCCCGGCGATCTTCACGCGATCCCGAGCGATCCCCCGCGCTCGGACGCGACCCCGGCGGTCCGGAGCGAGGCGGCGCCGGTCATTATGGTTTACGCGAAAATCGAAGTATCTGACCGTTTACCCCCCGCCCGCGCGAAAACTCTTAGTCGCTGATGGCGCTTGTGGGTATCGATGGTGAACGCAAGTCTGGGATCGACATTCGAGCTGAACACGTCACTGCAGCACCGCGGAGTCATTCGACGAAGGTTATACGAAATTGGTCTTTTAGGCGACAATGGCGATCTCGAACATCGTGAAGTCCTCACTAGGACCAGTTGGGCTGGACAAGATGCTAGTCGATGAAATCGGCGATGTCACCATAACTAATGATGGTAGGAAAGTAACCTATGCATAAATTTGGAATCTGTCGATTAGGTGCGACCATTTTGCAGCGACTTGAAGTGGAGCATCCTGCGGCCAAGGTCCTAGTCGAGCTAGCCGAGCTGCAGGATAGCGAAGTTGGCGATGGGACAACTTCTGTGGTTATTATTGCTGCTGAGTTGTTGAAACGGGGTACGGAACTTGTGAAGAACGGCATTCATCCAACAACAATCATGAGCGGCTTTCGGCTGGCTCTGAAGGAGGCAGTCAAATTTGTTAAGTCGAATCTTATGGTACCTATAGAGCAGCTCGGTGATGATGCCCTCATTTCTGCCGCTAAAACATCGATGGCGTCTAAGCTTCTCAATGCAGATGAGAGCTTTTGGTCGAAACTAGCTGTCGATGCTGTCCGTTCTGTGAAAACGTGCGCACCGTGCATTAACGGTTTTATGCTAGAAGTCACATATGAACTTGCAGGCAAACCGCTGACGGCAAGGCACGGTATCCTGTCTCCGCCATTCATATCCTCAAGGCGCACGGAAAATCCTCCACAGAGTCTGAACTTGTGAGCGGGTTCGCAATAAACGTGCAGCGTGCTGCTCAGGGGATGCCTTCTAGTATCAACGGCGCAAAGATTGCGCTCTTAGACTTTCCATTGCAACGTCATAAAGTGCAGATGGGTGTGACCGTCCAGGTGGACGATGTCGGCGAAGTCGAAGGGATCCGCCAACGTGAGCTAGATATAACCAAAGAGCGCATCCAGAAGATATTGCAAGCTGGGGCGAATGTCGTGCTCACTACCAAGGGAATCGATGATACCTGTCTTAAGTATTTTGTCGAAGCTGGAGTATTAGCTGCTCGGCGAGTCAAAAAGGAGGATTTGACACGTCTCGCACGTGCCACTGGCGGGCGTGTTGTCGTGACACTTGCAGATATGGAAGGTAATGAGACTTTCGACTCTGAGTGTCTTGGTTCCGCTGATATCGTTCAAGAGGAGCGGATCGGAGACGGAGAGATGCTCTACATCCGTGGCACTGCGCTGTCCAAGGCGACAACTATTGTCATTCGCGGTGCAAATGAGTTTCATCTTGATGAACTAGATCGCGCACTTCACGATGTTCTTATGGTGGTTAAGCGGGTTCTCGAATCAGCTGCTGTAGTTGCTGGAGGGGGGGCGGTTGAAGCAGCTCTGTCCATCTTCCTCGAGAAACATGCACAGACGCTAGCCACACGAGAACACCTTGCCGTCGCAGAGTTTGCCCAGTCATTGCTGGTCATTCCGAGGACCCTATCTGTCAATGCTGCTCAAGACGCAATAGAGCTTGTTGCAAAGTTGCGAGCAAATCATCATGCCGCACAGCAAGGAAGTTGTGATCCACGGCGATTCTCTGGTCTGGATCTCTTTTCTGGTCATGTTCGCGATAATCTACATGCAGGTATCCTTGAGCCTGCCATATCAAAGATCAAGTGCCTTCGGTTTGCGACTGAAGCAGCCATCACTATCCTACGTATCGATGACATGATTAAGCTCAACCCAAAACCACCTCCAGATGATCCTCGCCATATGTAGAGTAGCTGAGTGCTGAAGCCCCGTGGTGCGCAGTACGATATGCGCCTTGGTCCGTTCCAGCTAAGCAACGGCGTCTCTTCCACGTTAAATGGCAACCTGCGAGCCTGTGCACGAGGTGGGTCGTGCGCCAGGCCCCGTTGCTTCCTCCTGACTTTGTTTGGGGGCTACTATGGAACATCAGTGAACCGGCGGCATTAGGCTACACACGCGTGCAGGCGGCCAAAGGGTCGCTCCTAGGCACCTCATGTGGTGGAACGTACGGGCCCTAACCTTACCCTATTCCTTTGACTTTTCAGATAATTGGAGCTCGGCACGTTATGGCGGACGCGCACGCGCCTGTCTCATTCATGCGGGCCGAGGTAGGCCGCCGGGTAAGTCGTCGAGTCCGAAAGTAAGCCGCCAGGTAGGTCGTTTTGGCCGAATGTCGGTCGTAAGTAACGGGTTATGTAAGCCGTCGCGTCGACATATAGGAAATGAGCCGTAGTGATTATAATTGCCCAACGTATATATCATAAACGATGCGAGCCATTCGTTTAAAGGTCTGCATCTCCTTCAATATAAGCTGTGCGCTCCGAGCCATCAATATCCCAAAATTCATCATAGATTGTGAAGTTTATTCCGTCAAGGGTA